ATGAATAAAAATTATTTTTATTAGCACGTCCTTTTCAAGACTAATGATTTTTTCTTATTTTCTGTGAATTGACATGGATTCTTGGGACAGACAGTAAAGTGATTTCCAGTTGCTTTTTCCCAGATTTGGAAATCTGTTTGCCTTTTCTTTGACTAGTTTCAATACAAGGTTAAACACATCTTTCCACCCGACTTTCACTAAAACATTCTCGTCTTTTGGCCATAAATTTCTTTTTTTAACTTATTTTCTTCTCTACTTGACTTCATTGGTACATTTCATATCTTCATTCTGTCATTCAGAAAAAATACCTAAGGCGGATATCACTGTCTCTCTGTCCCGCACACTCTCTCTCTGTCCCGCACACTCTCTGACTGTCTCTCTGTCCCGCACTGTCTCTCTCTGTCCCACACTCTCTGACTGTCTCTGTCCCCACACTCTCTGACTGTCTCTCTGTCCCTGCACACTCTCTGACTCTCTCTGTCCCGCACACTCTCTGACTGTCTCTCTGTCCCGCACACTCTCTGACTGTCTCTCTGTCCCACACTCTCTGACTGTCTCTCTGTCCCACACTCTCTGACTGTCTCTCTGTCCCACACACTCTCTGACTGTCTCTCTGTCCCCGCACTGTCTGTCTCTCTGTCCCACACACTCTCTGACTGTCTCTCTGTCCCCACACTCTCTGACTGTCTCTCTGTCCCCACACTCTCTGACTGTCTCTCTGTCCCGCACTCTCTGACTGTCTCTCTGTCCCGCACACTCTCTGACTGTCTCTCTGTCCCGCACACTCTCTGACTGTCTCTCTGTCCCGCACACTCTCTGACTGTCTCTCTGTCCCGCACACTCTCTGACTGTCTCTCTGTCCCACACACTTTTTTTTTTTTTTTTCCCCGCACACACTCTCTGACTGTTTTCTTTTTTTTTTTTTTTTTTACAAAAAAAAAAATTTGAAGCAATAGGTATGTGGTTCTACAGAAGGAAGCTTTGAATGCAATGGGCAGAACGCGGGAGCAACAACAAACGTTCGAAAAAGTTAAGAACTGTTTTGTGCAAGGTCCGATGAACATTACAAGTAACATTGAACAGACCAACTGAGATCCAAATATTTTTTCTGTTATTCTTGTATGCGCTCTTGCATTGTCATGACTGTGAACATTTCTTTGCTATTGACGAGCGCAAGTTTCGTTTCGATAAAAAATCTTTATGGACACGTTGCAGATGTTGGACTTGTAAATGTGCATTTAGTAAATACTAATTGCGTTTTAAGAATTCTAAAAAAAGAAAACTCAGACGATTCCACCACACGCACATTACCTTCCTTCCATGGAGCTCAATTTTTTTTTTTTGGTTTGTCTAGATTTATCCATATCAATTTACTCCCTTCTGCATTGAACAGCGTCGTATGATAGTCTCCTGTAACATTTAATCTCAAGTGGCGCGTATGGTCAGTAATTATATATCTTTCAACACATTTAGTCCCCCAAAAGGGTAAATTACATTTGTCTCAAAACAATATAAAATGCTCTCACATTTCTGAACAAGTCATGTATAGTCACTGAGAAATTGGAATTTTTTACTTAGCTTTTGCAAAAGGTAAAATGTTTTTGTATTTTAACAAACAAAATACATTCACTAAATAGATTAAAATAACATTATTAAAAGATGCTATATCTGTAACTTCCATTGTGAGATTGTTTAATCGGCTCATTTTAGGAAATCGTTTAAATTATCTAAAGAAATAAAATAAATGAATTCATAGGAATTTCAGTTCAATTCTTCAATTGGCTTCTTTGCTAATCTAATAAATAATTAAATTAGTTGGACGATTATTGTCAGTTTTCTTTGAAAACTGCGTCCCAGGAATTTTCACTAATTCTTTTTGTAAACAAAATAGAAAAAAAATTCTCTCACTCACACTCTCTCTCACTCACACTCTCTCCTCACCTCTCTCCTCCACACTCTCTCTCACTCACACTCTCTCTCACTCACACTCTCTCTCACTCACACTCTCTCTCTCCTCCTCTCTCTCCTCTCTCTCTCCCCTCACTCCTCTCTCTCCTCTCTCCTCTCTCTCTCTCTCTCTCCTCCCTCTCTCTCCTCTCTCCTCCCTCTCTCACTCTCACTCTCTCTCACACTCTCTCTCCTCACTCTCTCTCCCCTCTCTCTCCCTCTCTCCTCTCCTCTCTCCCCTCTCTCTCTCTCTCTCTCTCTCTCTCTCTCTCCTCCTCTCTCTCTCTCTCTCTCTCACACTCTCTCTCTCCTCCCTCACTCTCTCTCACCACCCTCTCTCTCTCCTCCTCTCTCTCTCTCTCTCACCTCTCTCTCTCTCTCACTCTCTCTCTCTCTCTCACACTCTCTCTCTCTCTCTCACTCTCTCTCTCTCTCTCTCTCTCTCTCTCTCTCTCTCTCTCTCTCTCTCTCTCTCTCTCTCTCTCTCTCTCTCTCTCACTCTCACTCTCACTCTCACTCTCTCTCTAATATATCTAATGGTCGGTTACTCCTCGTTTCGGAGTATATTTGTCTTCCTCTGCGTTTATTCAAACCCTTTACTTTCTCAACACACAGTCAACCTGTCTTTTTTTTTTTATACTGCAGCTATTCTGAGTGGATAATATTTCTCTCTTCTGCGAGAAATCGCATAATCTGGTGTTATTTCATATATATATATATAGCAATGCCAGAACGTTCAAATTGCTGCGACCAACGATGGCTTTCGAATCGCTCGTCGTTTACCCAATCTCGCTCATAAGGTGGAGGTTAACCTGTAGAATGGTTTCAGGCAATTTCCAAAGCTGCCGTGCGATAATATAACCTCCCCAGGTTGATATTATCTGAAAATCTCATTCGCCGACAAATCGATCATGATCAAGGGTCTCGTGTTCAGGAAGCGAATTTATATGTAAGCATTGTAACATCTTCCTCTTCAGATTATCTTTCGAAGAAGAAAATTGAATTGAAAAAAACTTACGCTGACCACATATTTAAAGCAGCTATTATTACTCTCTGTTGTCATCTCTTTGATCGCTATAAAAAAAAGTTTTTCTTTTTATTGAAGTCTGAAGTTTAATGTGACACGTGATGAAACGCTTAATTAGACCAATACACAGTAAGTCCCGATGGATAGACACGGAAATGTCAAAACAAATTTGGCGATAATGCATTTAAAAATTAATACACTGATGAGTAAGCATATTTTTAATGTCTTTGTTAGTAAAATAAAGCATTTCTCTAACTTAGACTGCTGTGTCGTGTGTGTGTTTTGATGTCCAAAATCCTTGTGCACATAAGACAAATGGTTATAAAAGAGGGATGAGAAGATAAATCAGTCCCGTTCGCATTCCGGGTGGGAAATATAAATATAGCCTCCATGTTCTTTTTTTTTTTTTCCCCGTTGGAAAAAATGACTTGTTTAGAAACAAAAGAATCCTTGGGCATCTCTAATACGTGTTGGGAATTATAAGACCCTATGTCTCTTCATCATTTCCTCACTGCCTGTTGCTGTATGCATGGGCTATAGTTTTTGCGTGAGACTAGTTAAAATATGTGTATATAATTTTGTGTATGACTTGGATGTATAAAGATCTCTTTGGGAACAAATCATTCATTTTCTTTTAGCGATTCTGTTCCGTTCGTGTATTATATTAGATATTTCCAGTTTGTATTCCCCACCTAGTATGGTCATTATTATATCCATAATATATAATGTCTATTATGGAGGAAAATGCAAAGTGGAAATAAACTTTCTTGTATAGTACGCCAATCAGTACAGTTACCATGAAAATATTTCTAAAATGAAAAAAAAATAAATAAAAAAAGTTACAGGTAAGATACGTTACGACGGTGGGGAAATGACTAAAACCGAGATGCCACGTCAGGATCAATAACGTTGCTGATTTTTCTTTAGATTTATTCAAGAACCACTAGATTTATAGCAGCACCAGAACAGATGTAATAACAATATTCAATGCATTGCTAACTGTTTTAAGATGTTACGATGAATTCATCTTGAGCTGAAATATTGAGTTTTATGAAATTTCTGTCATTTGAGCTGAACTCTGTCTAAACATTTTTGTTGTTATCAAAATGCTTGTAGTTTATCCTACTATATCTATTTAACTAATAATTTCTTTTCTATTTCAGGTAAGTGTTTGTATGCCAAAATTTCCCGTACCAATCGTTATGTTCCGCTGTGTTTTGGTAAGTTGACATCGCTTTAGTATTTGTCATTCCAATCTGAAAGAGATCCTGTTTTTCAGATTATCCATAAAACCACTCCTCTCCTTTCTAATTTCCGACATTCCCATTGTCAATACCCCGCGTCGCAGCTAGCTGAAAAATACCGAAATGCGCGCGAGTATGTATGTGAACGTTTGTTGCTATGGAAACGTGAGATATATGGACGTTATAGATTTTACGCATTACATTTCTTTTTAATCACCTAGCATAAGTTGTAACTAGAAATCATTTTTTTTTGTATCATGAACAGTAATCATCCGCCATGAAAAAAAAACAAAATTGAGCTATATATATATATATATATATAGTTTGTTTTTTTGTTTTTTTTATTATACTCGGAGTTGTATTTTCCGATTTCTTTTTGAATTTGTAGATCTGATGAATTTGATCGTAATTACGATTCCAATGAAATAAATTATAACCATGGAATTTGAACATTTTATATTAAATTCTTACTGTCTTGGACATTGAGTTCTACCTGGATTCTATCCTCTAGGGAAGATATATGCAGGCGCCTTGGCCGAGATCTCGTGGTGATGCTTGTTCTTGTGCCAAGCAACACTGAGAATAGAAAATACTGAATATGTACATCGCTATATATATATATATATATATATATATATATATATAATAATGCCAATAAAAGCTATTTTACCTGTGTAGGTAAAATAATAAAGAAACATTTCTAAACACGTTTTATTTATTTATTCATGCTCTACTCGCAGAATTTAGGAAGGTTTTAGAATATCATCACGTCACCAGTAACCGATTTTCGTAGTAGGGGCACCACGTGTTCTGCAGCTATAGCAGCAGGGTCTGACTGGGGCAAGATGGCCTGGCGGAGTCCAAATATCTCCAAACTGTTTTTTGAATTCCGTTTTCCTTCTAACCTGGTTGCCACTCTCGAGTCAAGAAAGGCCTGATATTTAACCCATTTCAGACGGAAGAGAAGAAACAACATATTTTTCCAAAGAGTATTTTATCGAAAGCAGACGTAATCATCGCCGCCCGAGATTTGTTCCAACTACCCGCACATTCCCGGCTTTTAGAAGATACTTAGATGCCCTGAAATTTTCAGCTTTTATTTTTTTTTCTTTTTAGAAATGTTTAGAATAATTTGTGAGATTGTATATTATAACACGAGGATGATTCCATTTTTTATTGCCCACCGCTATACAAGATCCAAGAGCCACACAAGGTAGAGGGTTAAAGGTGTTTATGTGAGCGGTAAAAGTGAGAGGTGACGCAGTTTGAGGATATGTAGGAAAGATAACGGTTAACCCCAAACTTTAACAGATTAAGATTGTAGTGTTCGAGGAAGCATCCTCTTGGGAGTCGATTCCAAAGCAAGGGTTCATGAAGAGAAAAACTGCTCGATTGGAATGTCTTTCTCACTAGTGACATACAAAGGGGATGAGTGTGGTTCTCATCAATATACATGGCATGGCGAATTCTAGCTGTCAACGTTAGAACTGCTGGAACTAAAGAATGTAGCTTTCCTAAAAGATTTCCATGGGAATAACAGAATTGCGAAAATCTTACAAAATTTCGACTGTAAGAAAGGAGTTGTAGCGCGGAAAACTACAAGGCTACGTAGAAGCCTTTTGAACTCTATCGAGGCTGTAATGGGAAGACTGTATAGCTCCATCCCAGATATGGCAGCAGTACTTCATTTTCTGCCTGATCTGGCTCTTGTAGAGGTAAAACACGACAGAAGTTCGGTTCTTACAGGAAACCGACAATTTTTTTAAATGTTTAACAATGGAACGTATATACGAGTTCCACTTGGGGTCTGGATTAAACCCCAATGGACGTTCAAGGCAAAGAATCCTCCTTAAGAATGCAACACCCTTTCATTGCAATAAGCTAGTTAATTCTATGTAGTTTTAAATCAGCTATATAAGAATTTGCATGTGTAATAAGAAATATAACAAAGAAAAACCCGATAAAGTGATATCTCCGCTTAAATCGTTTCGAGTTAAGTCATTTCCGAAGATACGTCGGTTTTTGTTAAATATTATATGGAAAAATAAAACTCGTTTTACTCGAGTTTTCGTGAATTTAAAAATTGGTTTTGATTTATTTTATTCAGAATACTGTAATAGACAACGAGGAGTGCTTATTTGCGGTTTATAGTGTGGTTATTTCGACTCAAGTCATTTTCGATCGAAGTCGTGACCTCTGGAATCGATTAACGACGTAGGGTGAGATATACCTATACACTGAAACTGCTAAGTGACTTCGTTCTCTTAACTTCTTTTCATGTTAGAATCAAAAAAGAAACTGTCAACATTTATCATAAACAAAAAAAAAATAATTTTCACAGTAGCCACAAAAAGAAATACAAATGGTAAGGATCTAGAAAGTAGGATTTGACAGGAAGAAAAGATTTCTAAAGATGTCTCTGCAAATGCAAGCAAGAAAATATGCAAACCAAAAGGCGGAAAAGCCACTACTCTATGACATTTAAAAAAAAAAATCACAAACTAGTTTTGCTTGCTTGAAGAAGTACAATAAAACGAACTTCTCATAAAGAAGCTATAAGGATGAAAGTAAATACACAGATGAACTCAAGATCATCAGCCAAATGAGGAACAGAGACAAAGCGGCTGTACCCACTATTATAAATGGTCCCGAGGTAATATCCTCCTCAACAGTGCTCTTCACCTTATTTATACCTCCAAACTTAACGTTAGATCAAAAAGACCATCCCCACCTCAACTTCTCACGTATTCGTGAGAACTATCAGTAATATACTAATTTCATTTATAGAAATCTCTAAATTTATCAAAAGCCTCGACCCGAAAAAAAAGCTACTGGCCTAGACAAAATTCCAGTGGTCTTCCTTAAGAATATCAACCTAGAAGTATCTGTCTATATTTCTGGTCTATATTTCTGCGATGAGGTATTATGTACCCTTTTTACATTATTCGAACTATTGTCCTCATCTTTGTCGCCATATTTATTAAAACGTTTCGGCAGTTGTACGCTCCGGCCTTCTTCAGGTGGTTGCAATGTCGAACTGAACCCTTTATTTCGGTCACTGGGGTAGACTGTTCTCATTCCACGTGCCATGTTTAATGGATGTCCTTTATCAGTTATCTCCTGTTAATTTCCCTATGAAAGTTCTCCACTGCCTTAACCGGGTATTGAACTCACACTCTTTGGGTCCTGTCACTGGATCTAACCAACGCCTTTATCCACTGTGTCATGTGTTGTTGAGGACCCAAAGTGTGTGTGTATGTGTGTAATTAGTATATATAGTAA